CCAAGTTCTTTGAGGTATCTCCATACTGATTTCCACAGTGGTTGCACCAGTCTGCACTCCCACCAGCAATGGAGAAGGGTTCCTTTCTCCCCACAACCCCGCCAGCATTTATTATTTGTTGATTTCACCCCAGAAAGAATGGCTGCTATCAAGAAATCAGATTTTCCTCTTGTCTGCACACTCACAAGGAGGAACCAAGAGAGCTCTGTTTCAAGAAGATTCCAAGTCGGGGTGACATAAGCAAAGAGAAGACACCATCGGTCTCCTGCACCGGAAGCCACCCAACCTCAATGGGGCAGCGTGGCCCCATCATGTGACTTGCGCACTGACTGCTGGGAGCCTCACGTCCTGCCACTGCCTCACAAGCAGAGTCTGCGCACTTGGGCGCCCCAATCGACTGCCGAGCTTTTGTTGGAGAAGAAGGTCAGCAAGCCTCTGAGTAGAGTGATTTTGAGTGGGGCTGAAGGGGTTAGTGCGCGTGAGAGTGTAACCGAGTGTGAAATAAGGCAGTGAGAGAGAATGGGAGCGTCCTTTTAGAGTCTGTGTAAGGCTGAGGTGAAGGAGGGAAGAAGAGGTGAGTGGATGTGAGGGGAGAAAAAGGCAGCAAAATGGCGTGAGGAGCCAGACTAGTGTTGAGTTGAATAGAAGAAAACAGTTGTACAAGGCAAAGAGGGTAGTTGTTGGTAATAATCTAGTCACCAACACCTAAGATTGCATAACCTGGGTCAGTGGATGTACTTAGTATTTGTCACAGGTTGAGGACCAGCCTGTCTCCACACCTGGTTTAGGATTAAGGCTTTAAGTTATGACAGAAAGCGAATTTATTTTTACAGAGGGAGAATTACTGAACTATCAAAGTTTTTATTTGACATATGTACATATTCTGTTACTTTGATAAAATAGGTGTAAAAGGGAAAATTAAAAGGGAAAAAAAGGGGAAAGGAAGCGACATACTGTATTTGCATGTTGTGTTCTCTGAAACGTTTTCTAACGCCCAAGACAAAGTTAGCACAGCTGTGCACGTGTCATAGTTTCTACATATAACTACTATAGCGCTTAAATGTATATACAAAGTACTGGCAAGGATGTAGAAATATGAAGTGTGATTGAAAAATATGATGTGTAGGGCCGGGGATTTAGCTCAGTGGTTCCAGCGCCTGCCTCAGAAGCGCAAGGTCCTGAGTTCAATCCCTGGTACAAAAAAAAAAAAAAAGAAAAGAAAAAGGAATATGATGTGTTTTATTAATAAAATGCATCACAGTAAAAGACATATTGCTTTTAATCTGGTCAAAATAGTTCCCCTTTGTGGGAGCAGACTTATCCCACTGTACTTGTCCCTTTTAGAAGCAGTTCTAGAAGATTTCTTTCCTATCTTCAGTTGTGTTGTCCTGGCTACCTTCATGTCCTGAAGCCATTCAAAACATTTACTTTTTGTGGTCATATTGAGGAACAGCCAGGTAGATGAGGACACACCATAATGTTTCTATAAACCTGCCTTTCAGTGGAACCGCACTCAGCAGCATTCACTGTAGTTTTTAATCACATGTTAGAAAGATACACATCAGAGGACTTCCAGAATGGTTTCAGAAAGTGGCAAGAATGATGTGTGCTCAGGATGAAAGTGTGTTCAAAGTGAGGGAGAGTATTTTTAGGGGGTCTAATGGCAACGTCTTTTACTGTAATAAATGTAAAAAAATTTTTTTACAAAATATTCACTGTATTTTTCGATCACCTATTGTACTATACTGAATTTATTAAACAGACTTCCCTGTAATTTGTTTTCACTATCATACGTGTTTATATATGGCTAATCAGAATACTTATCTGATTCAATTCAGCATAGTATTTTTTTTTTTAAAGTAAACCTATAACTTCAATGTAGGTTTCATGTCTAAGATGTATAGAACCTTTCAGGTTACAACACTTTTTCTTAAACTTAATGTTATAGACTCCTAGGATAAATACCTTCAGAGTCTATGGAAAAAATTTGATAGTATATTTAGGTAAGGTATGACAATAAAAATAATCTTAGCCTAGAAAAATGAAGAGATCTTGTTTCTGGTCTGACTATATCTTCTTTGAACTTGGTTAACTACCTCTGTCATTGCTTTTTCATTTGTTTAAAAGAAAAGAGAGAGAAAGGAGAGATTGAATGAGATGAACTATGGATCTGTTTCAACATTTAGGTTTTCAGAAGCTGGAAGAAGCTTAATGAGCTAGTCCTGAAACAAGGCAGAAATGTCAGAGATTAATTTAACAGAGTACATATAGAGGAGTAGTTGAAAATGTTGGGAATGGTAGGTTGGCCCTGGATGATGGAGGACTTTGGATGCCATACCAGGGAATGAATAGTCAATGGAAGGTTTTTAAGTGAAGGGGATTCAGTGATCAAAGGTTTGAATTACTGAAATAGCGGTTGATAGGATGAATTAGAGAGGGAGAAATCAAATATAGGTAACTGACATCATGAGAGCCTAAATTAATAGCAGCAGTAGCAGTGGAAAAAGGAAAGGTTTCAAGAGAGCTGTAGCATGGAGTTTGTACCTCAATTTGACATTGCGCTAAACTTTATAGTTTGTGCTCCCAGGATATGATGGCAAATCACGTTGTAAAACCTGATTCTAGAAATTGCAAGAGGCCAAGAGAAGTGGAGGTAAGCTACATATTTGTGGAGATTTAATCTTTTATTCTGTTGTATATAGTTTTCAGATTTCTTCCATTTAATGAAGTTCTATTGATAAATAGAATTTAGTGTTTTCATATTCCAAGAGCTAGGATTGCTGTAGCAGGAACCAAGTTGACTCCAGCTGGTTTTTCACTAAGTGTAGACCTGCAAGAAATTATTTGGAGATTTTTTTTGATAGCTTATGATCTACAGACAGAATGGAGTCTATGCCTTTACATAGGATTTTATGTAATTATTTTGCTATAGCAAGAAAGATATCTAGATACTGTACTGATTGACCTTTTAAAGAATAGCCCTTTACCTCTTCTTTATATAGTTCTTTACCTCTTCCCCTACCAGTTGATCTGTTGCATTTGAGATAATTTGTTTGCTCCTTGAACACATTTTGTATCACATAATTTTGCAAGCACTTGGCTGTTGTCCAAATTACAGTTGCTATTATGCTATGAAAACATCTAGCCTAAGATACAAGATACTTTTTCATGGAGGGATTTATTATTTTTTTTTCTTTTGGTACCGGGGGTCGAACTTGGGACCTGGCGCTTGTGAGGCAGGCATCAGAACCACTGAGCTAAATCCCCAGCCCTTCATGGAGGAATTTAAAACATATTCAGATTCTCATTTCTTTTTGGAGGCAGGTCTCACTATGCATTGAAGGCTGGCCTAGAACTCACTGTGTAGCCCAGGCTGACCTCAAACTCATGGCAATCCTCCTGTTTTAGCCTCCGGTGTGCTAGGATTACAGTCATATGCCATCATGCCCCGCTCAAAATCTAATTTTTTTTTTTTTTTTTTCTGGGTACCAGGGATCCAACTGAGGTCCTTGTGGTTGCGCAGCAGGCGACGAAACCACTGAGCTAAATCCCCGGCTCTCAAAATCTAATTTAAAACTTAAAATTTAGTATGTTGAGGAAGGTGCTTTTTGGGTCTAAAAGTTTCCTTGATAATATAACTTCAAATGTATAAAATACACTTTTTAGGCTGGGGATTTTCGCCTTGCAAGCGAAAGGTCCTGAGTTCAATCCCTGGTACAAACAAACAAAAACAACAACAACAACAAAAACCTTTTTAGCATGTTTGATTTTTTTTTCTAAAAAATATTTATTTGCTTTTTTTAAAATATCAAAGATTGAATCTAGGTTAAGTGTGATAGGCAAGTGCTCTACCACTGAGCTGCATCACCACCCTGTATTTGTTTTTTTTAATAAACAGTGTATATGTCCTAAAGTTCTTATCATTGGCCATGAACCTTTTTTTTTTTTTTTTTAACTTCTCTTAGCCTCAAATGCCAGATAATCCATTGCTGTCCTCTGTTGGAAAATCAGATTCACCATTCTCTGACTGTTCTGGACTATTTTATAAAGATGAGGCCCTGGAGAAAGAGTTGAATGGTGATGTATAAAATGCTTATATTTACAAACATTGATTATTTTATACAGAAGATTTGTTGTATTTCATAACTTAATGATTTTTTTTAAACAGATACAAGCAAGGAAATTAATGTAATGTTTTTTGCATATGCGAAGATCTTAAGGCAAGTACTTAAAGTATATTGTCTTGGATCTTTATGTTAGAAATAATAGTTTTCTTCTGGAAACTGTAATGGGAAGTTTAGTTCTATGGATGAAAAAATCTATCAAGTAATTAGAACTTTGAAATTTTTATTTTATTTCAAATTCCTTATAATAAATTATAATAGAACTACAACTTTTCCTTTAAACAGCTCTTGTTTTGCTATAGCCAGAGCTAATACTAGATTGGATATATTTTGGTCTCTAGTTAGAGACCGTGATACTAATGTTAAATTATATGTAAATATCACTTCATGAAATTAATGATATTAATTACATATTAAAGATAAATATTTTATGTATTTGTTTTCTTTATATATGTTTGAAGCCTGTATTTAAATATTTATTGGCCTGAGATTATATTATGAGACAAATGTATTATGAGGTGGTGTTTTAAACCACTGGGCAGTCATTGTACTTGTGTAATGGTTTGTGTGGCTGTAAAAATAATTTATATAGTTTAATATTGTAATTATAATGCATAAGATGTATTTTCTGCTGTGTCAAAAGACTTTTTGAGCAAAATTATGTATATTTGTGGGACTAATTTAACCTTTCCCTTTTCCTGAAGAGTATGAGTACATTAGTTAAGCTCTCTCACATCCAAAGCCATTTAAATGAAATAACTAACAAATATAGTATAATAAAGAACATCACCATGATTTATATTTAGAATTTCTAACTTTAACATGAAACTTTTTTTTCTGTTAGTGAGAGAGCAGCAGTAGATGGATCCTACCTTAATGAGATTGATGAACTCTTCAAAGAAGCTGATATTATTGAGAACTTTCTGATACAAAAAAGAGAGCACCTGAGACAGAGGCTTACAGTGATTACAAATACACTGAAAAGATAAAATGTGTACTTAAAATAAGTTGAGAATTTAAACCTGTTATTGTTGTAATAAAAGAATGACCTTTATACTCTGAAAGCTCCCTAGTTGGTAAAGAAAATGTCTATCTGAAACAGAGGATTGTTTTCTAGACTTAAGGACTTTAAGTAAGCTGGACATTAATATGAAGTATGAAACTTTTCTTTTTTTTGGTACTGAGGATCGAACTCAGAATCTTGCCCTTGTGAGGCAGGCGGCAGCACCACTGAGTTAAATCCCCAGCCCAGAACTTTTCTTTTGAGGGTTAAATATTTGTCACATTTTCTAAAAATACAAATTATTTAAATCTTTCATATATAAAATCTTTTTTTTTCATTTCCCTTAGACTTCTACCCTTTCTTAAACTTCTAGAAGAGGACTCAGTTAATTTTATTATGTTTAACAATAGTGTACTTTTTTCTTTTAGACTACTTTGATTAAGTGGCAGATAGTTTTAGGGAGAATTTTGAAATGTTTTTAATGGTCAGTACTATAAAAGAACTTTAAACATGAAAGGTAATTCATCTAGTTTCACAATATGTAATAAAATATAACTGTGCTATTGCTATATGATAGTACCATTTGATTATTTTCACTATTAGTTTTTATATATGACTAATAAAAGTTTGGCTTAAAATTATTTTCTTCTGATAAAGTAGTAAAATAAAAACCAGAAAATACTAACTAGCACCTTGTATGAATGGGTTTTTACACATTAATTACATCAGTGTGAGTAGCTAGTGAGTTGTATTCAGAAGCCTTAGCAGCACTATGGTATGGGATAGAAATTAGTGATCCAGAAGTAAGGAGACTGGCTTAAACAAGATAACTTTGGCAAGTCACTTCAATCTTATTATAAGGTTTTTGTTTTTGTTTTTGTATTTTGATACAGAGTCTTCCTTGGTAGTGCAGGCTGGCCTTAAACTCACTATGTTGCCCAGGGTGGCCTAAAACTCTTGGTGATCCTCTTGCTTTGGCTTTCCAAGGGCTGGGATTACAGGCAAGCACCACCATACCCAATGAATCCTATTATACTTTGAAAGTTAATTTGGGCTAAAGGATCTCTACTACTCAGATTAACAATTTCTTCCTTTGATATAAAGTACTGCTATGATTTTATTAAGAAGGTTGGTATGCTATATAAGTACATGAGATAAGTATATTAACCAGATTTTAAAAAATCACAGTACCTATTTTTCAATCATGTTGATAGTTCATTTCTTTTATGTATTTTTTTCAATATAAGCAATCACAAATTAGGATACATTTGCAAAAGGTACACAGGGAATTGGTATGCCTAAAGACAGCGTGTTTGTCTTCCTGCCTTCTAGCTGTAAAGTAAAATTTCATTTCATTAGATTACTATTTTAGGGCATAAACATCACATTACATAAATACCTATACAAGAAAGAATGATGAAAGTAAAATAATATTTACTTTAAAAACTGGTTAAATTGACAGGATAGGTTAGAGGTCAACAAAGTACTGGAAATGAAATTTTTTTTTTTTTTTTTTGGTAACAAAGTACTGGAAATGAAATTTTTTTTTTTTTTGACCCAAACTCGGGTCCTTGCACTTGCGCAGCAGGTGGCGAAACCACTGAGCTAAATCCCCGGCCCTGGAAATGAAATTTTAAAAAATTAAATGCAATAGAAGACTATATTTAATATGACATTCTACCTGGATTTGAATCATTTTGTTACATAGTTCTTTAATGTTTGGAATACAAAGATAATTCCACTGACTTACCATCATTAAAAATGTTTTGAATTATTTTTAAGCATTTATTCTTTTTTCCAGTACTGGGGATCAAACTCAGGACCTTGCGCTTGCGAGGCAGGTGGCAGCACCACTGAGCTAAATCCCAGCCCTTGCCATATGCTTTTTGAGCACATACCTTTTTTAGTCTTATTTGTAAAATTAATGAATAAAAATGAAAAGGAATGAATGAATGAACAAAATGAATCAAAATGAATAAAAAGAATGAATGAATGGAAAAGAAAAGGTAGCCTGAAATGATAGACAAAGGACAAAAGCTAAGCTGTTGTCTGACTATAGAGTCCTTTATCAACAGTCAGTAAATTTGGACTTTATTCTATATCTGAATCTTTCAGGGGAGAGGAGTGGCAGGATGAAAGAGATCCCATGGATCCCAATCAGCTGATTAATTCTAGTGTGAGGACAGATTCAAGGGAGGAAAGTTTAGGGAGGGAGGCTGCTAGTGGTTGTCCAGTTTTACTTTTTCAAAACTAAAGAAAATTTATTTATAGAGAGCTTGTTGGGATAGTTGCCCTGAAGGTGAGACTAAGAGATTACTAGTAGGTTGAAACCTTTTCTCTTCCCTCCCCATCCCATTCTGTCCCTGAGCCAGGGACAGCCCAGGAAGTTCTGTGAATGTTCACTAACAAGTACCAATGGGCGTAAGGATTTGGAAATAACATGATCTGCTGCTACTGAACTGAATTCAAAAATGTTTTCTTGAAACTTTCACCGTTTTGTCAGCAATCTTTCTACCACTTCAGTGGGCTTTCTGTGATAGCCCATCGGCTCCCAGGTAGGGGATTTGTCCCTGTCCTTTCTTGTTCTTCCTCCTCCTCCTACCAGCCTGCACTTCAACTTCTGTGCTTCTTTCCCAGGAGGTTATTTGAGGCTTCTGAAGCTTCCCCCTCTGTGTGGAGCAGATGGGCAGCAACTCCACAGAGGCAGAAGTGAAAGAAGACTGAGTCAGCTATTTGTTTGCTCATTGTTAGAGAAACAGCCTTTGTGTTCATATGTTTTATTCAACATATGTGGGCAGGATTGAGGGTTAAGGATTTTATTGAATGTATAAGAGGAAGAATATTCATTATTTAAACTTGTCTAAATTGAAAATTACTGCCACATGTTCTAAGATAAATGTTTGATTCATCATGGGAAACTCTTAAAACCTGTGTTTTTTGTTTTGTAGCTTTCTATTATAGCTTCTATTGTTTCATGATTTTATTTCTTGAAATTTACTGATACAGAACTGTCAGCAGTTGCACTGATATGCACTATAAATTGTAAATTTATTTAATTTAGTGTTTGCACTATATAAGGAAATGTGTTAGATACTAGAAGGAGAGGGTAGGCAAAATGTACACTCTGTACTCAAGAATTACTGGTAATAGAGGTTTTACAATATATTAATCTTCATCATATAAGACAGAATAAGATAGGGGCCATAAGACAGATAGCTATAAATAGTTGCTGTGTAGTTGAGACTAAGGAGAATCAGTTCTTGCTGTAGGAAATGGGGATGTCATGCTAATGAAGCAGATGACATGGAAACTGGTTCTTGAAGGATGGGTTGGTATGTGAATTTCATCTGTAGGGGATTGGAAATATTCTAGATGAAGAGAATGGTGTAATTATGATGAGAACAAGAGACTGGGGAGTGGTCCAATTAGGCTGGAGTGAAGAACATGTAGGTTTCAGGGAGATGAACAAGCCCTTCATCAGTGCATCAGTGCCTGGCAAACAGTTTAGCCTTCATTTGATAGACTATGTCAAGCCATTTGTGGTGGTTTTGTAGAGGACTATATCTTACAAGTAGATCTATACTTAGTTTGTTTATTATTTATTTTCCGTTTTTTTTTGAGACAGGGTCTTGTTATGTAGTTCACGCTGGCCTTGAACTCAGTCTGTAGCCCTGGCTGGCTTCGAACTCTTGGATCCGACTGCCTCAGCCTCAGAAGTGCTGGGATAACAGGCAACCACCACCACGCCCAGCTAGATCTATACTTAGTAAAGTTCATTTGGTGGAATTGTTTTCCAGCCTTTCTCATATCACACACAAGTAGAAAATAATATTTTTACTGCACGGTGTTGTAAATAGAATGCGATCAGAAGTCCTGATGAGCCGGATGTGGTGGCACACACCTGTTATCCCAGCTCTTGTAATCCCTCCTGCGGAGGCAGGAGGATCACTGCAAGTTCCAGGCAAGCCTAGGCTACATCTGGGCTACATATGGAGACCCTGTCTCAATAAACCAAAAAACAAAAAGAAGTCCTGATGAGTTACTTAGACTTGGAGGCAGTTGGCCTGGGCCTTCTGGTTATACCAAGGGCTAAGAGGATTAAGAGGTCCACTAATTAGAAAGCTCTGGTCTAAAAGAGAGCTGAATCCCTACCTAATTTCTTCCAATTAGGGGCCGTTATAATGATATCCTGTTTTAACAGATGAAGGTCTAAATTAGGATAGGAGGAAGAAAATGACTGATAAGAAAAGCTGAGGCATCAGTGCTGATGAGGACATGTTAAGGCCAGGAAAAAAAAAATTGGAGGAGCTGCCCAGAGGGAGGGACTAGAAAAAATAAAGGATTTTCCCCAGGGCACCCTTGTAGACTTTTGAGCCTTCTTAATTTTTATTAGCCACCCTGTGTCATCTCTTTAGCAGCCCCCAACTGGCCTTGTGCATATGTAGTCTGCAGAACTTACGAATGTAAGGAGCATTGGAAAAGGTGAATTCAGAGTCTGCAGAGATACTGTAGCTGGATTATTTAGCTGGTGGAGAAACTGATTTGGAAGGAGGAAAATGAAATCTGTATTAATATATTGAGAGTCACTTGTAAGAAGGAATTGGTGAATTTAAGAGACCACATTGAAATTACCAGGGAAGAATGCTGAGATTAAAGAGTAAAGGTCCAAGGTCATACATTAGGAACATTTATGTAGTGATAAGGGAAAAAGGAGCCAATAAAAGGCATTAGCATATTTAATGATAATGATAGACATGAACAGGAAGTATTAACGTTTTATCCCTGTTTTATTGAGAAACTTGAGACTCAGAGAAATTAGGTAATTCTCCAAAGTTGTCAGCAAATAAACAATGAAGCTGGCACAAAGCAGAGAGTAGCCAGAGAGTGAGCAAGAAAGTTGGAATAGTCCAATGTCTCAGAATCCGGGAATAGAAATGGTTTTAAGGAGATGTTGGCAACCATAGCAAGTACTGCAGAAAAGCCTGAAGAGCGTGATAATAGACTGCACACAATATTGAGTGTAGAACATATGGATAATGTAAATATTTTCTAGAATGTAAAAATATTTAAAATTCATTCATGGCTCATACCTATAACCCCAATACTCTGGGAGGCTGAGGCAGGAGGATCACAAATAAGTTAAATCCTCGCCTGGGCAATTTAATGAGATCCTGTCTCAAAATAAAAAATAAAAAATGGGCTGGGGATACAGCTCAGTGCAAAGGCCTTGGGTTTAATCTCCAGTATTTTAAAAGAAAATAAAAGGGGCAGGGATTTAGCTCAGTGGTTCCCGTGCCTGCCGAGCAAGTGCAAGGTCCTGAGTTCCCGGATACCAAAAAAACTCCAACAACACAAAGAACCAAAAACAAACAAAATCCCCAAAAAGAAAACAAACAACAAACAACAAAACAATTCATGTATTTCTATTCACAAAAATCCCAGATCAGGGTATTCAATTTAAGATTACCTAAATAAGTAGGATTTACTTAAATAGGATGAATAAAATATCCAACTTTAGGGAATTTATTTCAGTCTAAGAGGAAAAGCAAGATAGATATACATAATGTTAAGAAAAGTAAAGTGAGATAAGTACCTGAGGGTTTCCTTCTCTCCCTTTCAAAGCATCCTCTATGATTCCCAAATTTTATTATGTCTAAGAACAACGCTGGCTCTACCCCAGATTCTGACTTACTAGGTGTGGAGCAGAATTGAGGAATTTACATTTTAGTAATGACACTAGGTAGTATTTCTGTTGCAAACAGTTCTCAGATCAGAGTTTGAGAAACAGTGCTGAAACAGAACACTTATCAATGATCTGTTTGTTTGTTTACTAGGGAGTGAGTTCATGTCAGTTTTCTAATGCCTTTTATCCATCAGCAGTGCTTACTTAGCATTTTGTTGAATGAATAATTTGAATAAAGAAGCAGAATCATATGTTTTATTGGATTGATCATTAAAAACTATGTAAATAATTTTTTTAGTATTGTGTTATAAAAGCTTTTTTTTTTTTTGGTACTGGGGATTGAACTTGGGTCCTTGCGCTTGCGCAGCAGGCGGCGAAACCACTGAGCTAAATCCCCGGCCCTGTGTTATAAAAGCTTTACATAAATTAACTCATTTATTATAGCCTTAGGCATGATAAGAATTATAAGTATTATTTCCTCACCTTGGAAAGGAGGAAACAGTACAGAGAGGTTCAGAGTCTTACTTGAGAACTGACCAATACTGAACTGAAGTAGTCTGAGGCCAGGCAGAGCCCAAGCCTGCACTCTTAAATATTACTGTATGCTGCCTGTAAAAGAAAGTAACATTTGAGATAGACTTTGAATAATAGAAATTTCTTGGGGAGAGGTTTTGGGAAAGGCTTTCAAGGTAAAAGTAAATTTCATTTGGGAAAACAGGAAATAGTTGGACTTGAAGGAATTGTTACTTGTAGGAAAGTAACTCCAGATTGAATACCTCAAAGATTTGAAAGAGATTGATCATAGATAAAATATAATTTGCTGAAAGATTACTAATTTCAATTGTTTAGGGGAATAGTATCCCTATGTATTAATTTATATTTCTAACCTAGACTTCTGTGTCACTGTTAAATTTTTATGAAATAGATTGTATTTATATTATGTATTTGCCCACTCCTCTGCATTAAACAATTTTGCCTTGTGAACATTCAATAAGTATGAAACAGTGGGAACAATTTTAAAAAATTTTATTTTATCCCATTCCCCCCTAAACTCCCCCATGTACAAAAGCTTTGTTTCCATTTTTTCCATTTTCACATTTTTTCTTCTCCCTTCCTTCCTTTTTCCATCCCTCTTCCCCTTCCCACTTGAACACTTTCTTCCCATTTCCCAGCATTCATTATACATCTCAGTCCTTATTTCCACATCCAGTTTCTTACACCAGAGAAACAATGCAGTATTTAAACGTGTGTCCGATTTATTTCACTTAAGAGAATGGTCTCAAGGTCCATCCATTTAGGTAGAAATGTCTGAAGTGCATCCTTTTTTTTCCCCAATTAAGTTTATTGGTACATTTTAGGTATAAAATACAGTTACATGCATCATTGGGATCTTGTACCATTACATG